TTAAATAGTTGAAATAGATAAATAATAATAATAAAGTAATAATAAAAATAAATCTTTAATAAATTATTTCATTTATCATTTTTAATATAAAATATCTTTTAAAAAATTATAATTTTCATTCAAGAAAATATTTTTAAAAATTGGTTTCAATAAATATAATATAGATTTTAGAAAACATATATAGAAAATTCTAATACATTGTATCTAATACATTACAAGTGTCTTTAAAGACTCCACGTTTGCGATCGTTGACGGCGCGCGCAACTTGTTAAAAACTATTGTATTTCTGTAAATAAAAAAGGAATCTTTGTGCAACTTTACAGAAAACTTCTTTACATTATAATGAAAAAATGTCTCACTGGAAGTTGTTAAAATTTGAAACTTCCCGGATACTTTTTGCAGCCAAAGATAGGAAACATATTTTCCGACAAGGTTAATATTAACAATTAAAAATTGTTAAACAATTAATTAATTTTAACATTCTCATAATATTGTCGCCTTCTATAGACCCAAATGCATTTGTATACCAAATATCAAGAGAATTCTCTAATTTTTGTCGAAGATACCACAATTTATATTTAAAAATTCAATGAATTTTGGGAATTAAAATTTATAACATTTTTGCCATTATTATCTAAAATATTCATTATGCAAAAAAATCTCAAAGGAAAAAAAGATGCGCATTTTTATTCACTATAAGGTGGCATTTTTCAAAATTTTAAATTTCGAATTTTCATTTTTCACACCTTTTGGTACCTCTGACTGGCTTTCAAGTGACTCGCCGAGCGTACGACCCCTTATTGTATCCAAGCACTCAATTGCATAATTTTTTCTTGAAATCTTTTCAGTGTTATAAATACAAAAAAAAAGAAAAATTTTTTACTGATATACATTTAGAAGCAGAATTTTATCAGCTTTCCAACTATCTAAGGTAGAAGTATCTATCTTTTTTCTAACTTAAAATATCTTGCTTTAAAGTCAGCACCGAATTTGCACTCCTCGCACGTTAGTCGTGCCGACAATTTTCGACGGTAGTGTATCTTTAAAAATAAAAACAAAAATTATAGAAATAAAGTGATGAAAATATTCATAAATATCATAATTGTACAAATTTATTTATCTCCTATTCTTATTTTTTATATTATTTTTTATTAAAAATCGCTAAAAACTGATCACATAAATTTAAACAAACATTACATTTATATACATTATTTTAAACCTATTATCTATTTTTTCATTTGATTTGCAAAATTAAAATCAATAAAATCTAGAGGATTGTTAGACAAGAGCGGGCATTCGGTCTAGATAATGTGGAAGTGTAAACTCTGGCACATTGCAAGCTCGCTTGAGCTCCGAAAAATTAGCAGGTAAAATCGCTGGGTTCCAGCAGACACGCGGTCTGGCCTATACAACGTCCCTTGCGTGTGGGACACGTTTGTTATCTGGGAAACATTTACACTGCATACATATTGTCAGCTGTGTGGAACGATCACAGGAAGTTTCCCGCACATGCGCAAAAATATATATCCCATACGAGAAACATCAGGGATGAAAATGGGATATCCCATGCTGTGAGGGGATTAAAAAAATACAAAGTTTATGCTATTTATGGAATAGAAACTTGCCACTTTTCACCTAACACAAAGGCAAATTGTTTGGAATTGAATTTTTTCAGTTTCTATTTCCGTTTGAGGATTAAAAAGTCTTGTAATTCAATCATGATTTAACAAAACTTTGTGAAATGTATTCCACTAATGGAATACGTTTGCATTTTAGAATAAAAAAGAATTAATTTTTCCAATATTCAATCATATTTTAGGGGATTTAAAAAAAGAGGAAAAGGGTCGTTCACAAACTACGTCGCGCTATTTTATTCCATTTTTGAATTCCACCTAACCCTCGTCAAACATTATTACATACTTTAGCGCCATTTTTTCAACAGGTCGTCACAAATTACTTGACCTCCCTTCCCTCTTGAAGTGTGACGTAATCCCGAATATTCCAGATTAAATGGAATAGAAAAATTTTAAACTTTATAAAATATCTGATAATTTTAATTCCATTCTATATTCCAGCTTTCTTGCCAGGCAACTGCGACTTTTCTGCTCTATTACGATTCGACTTGAAAATTTTTTTTTTGGTTTTAGTCTATTGTGTACGAGCCAAACTATTTTTATCTAAATAATTTTGTTAAAAAATTAACCAGTCGATATTTCAAACCACACGGAAAAAATTAATTCAGTAGATTTTACAGAACTATCACGGAGTAGCGGATACAGCTCTTTACGAAACTGAGTGTTGTAAAATGTCACTAAATATTCAGGATAAACTTCAGAAATATTCAGTATAAACAATATTTTTTCTTGCATCATTTGGGTCCTAAAAACATACAGAATGGTCAGGAAAACAAAATTTTAATTTTTGACCATTTTAGAATTATTATTTTTTGAAAAAATTAAAATTTTTAATAATCCGTACGAGAGATTCTGAAGAAACATTAAAAAAGTGTGGAAAAAATTTGACAATGAAAAATAATTTGAATTGTGAAAGTAGATACATATGAGGCATTTTACGTGTAATATCCTGAGTTATAAAATTCATTTTTCGAAAAAAAGTGAATCTTGGGGAAATTGTAGTCCTACCTGATAGTAAAATATTCTCAAAAAATTTTTTGACTTTTTTGAAATTAGAGGGCGGGGGGTCAATTTTATCATTTTTCCCTGACACCGATTACTATTTGAATTTTTTCTGTGTATTATTATTATTTATTTATTAAAATAAATCCTATAGTCTCAAAGACCAAATACAGGATTATCATTGTACAAAATTTGTAAATTATGTAATGGCGATTGTAATTTGGCATGTACACATAAAAAAGGTGAGTCACGAGAATGATACTGAGGGACACAAAAAGGTATTTCCGACAGCAAATACGGACTACAAACGAAACCTCTAATAACTTTAAAAAGAAACAGTATTGCATCAATATTTCTTCTATTTTTGAGAGAAAGTTCAGAAAGTTAAATCTAAGTGAAGGTGCGAAATGTACTCCCAAATCTTTTATCATATAAACTTTTTCAAATTGTATTCCATCAACCTCATAAATATACTCTATATCGCTCTTCCTTCTCGTGAAGGTCATGACCTTACATTTACTTGGATTAATATCCAAGGAATTGTTTTTGCACCAATTGTTAAAATTATTAATATCGCTTTCGAGGTTTACGCAATCCTCGATGCAGTTTATTGCTTTAAATAATTTGGTATCATCGGCATACAATAAAAAGTCATTACAAAAAATAGATTCCAATTCATTTATATATATATATATATATATATATATATATATATATATATATATATATATATATATATATATATATATATATATATATATTACGAAAAATAAAGGTCCAAGATTTGAACCTTGAGGAACCCCAGAAGTAGGAACAAAAGAATATGAAGAAAAACCATTATAAGAAACAGTCATACGTCTATTATTATTCAAATAAGAAAATAATAATTTTAATAATTTATCTGGGATTCCCATTTCTTTCAACTTTAATATAATGAGTTCATGACTAACGCAGTCAAAAGCCTTTGACAAATCAGTAAAAATTACATCAACCTGCTGATTATATAACAAGTAATTCTCTATTTTATTAAGAAAAGTAAACAAATTAATTGAAGTTGAACGTCGAGGCACAAAGCCATGCTGATTCATAGAAAGTGATGGTAATGCATAAACCAAAGAATGTCTCGAATAATCATTTCAAAGACTTTTGAAAAATTACTCAAAATTGAAATGGGTTGATAATTAGTAACAAATGTCTTATCTCCCTTTTTAAATACTGGGACAACCCTGGAAGTTTCCACGCATCTGGAAAAACGCCAGTTTTAAGCGATAAATTAATAATTATCGTTAGAGGTTCAATAAATGCAAGGTAGCACCTTTTTATAAAAAAAGAAGGGATTTTATCCGTACCAGAGGTAAATTTATTTTTTATCAATTTCAATTTTCTTTCACTTATATCAGCATCTACTTGATAAACATCACCCATATAATTAAAATATTCAGTGTTGGAGAATGCCAGATGCGTAGAAGAAGGTTTATATACACTTAAAAAAAAATCAGCAAAAGCATTTACAATATCAATTGGATTATTAAATGCAATAAAAATGCAATAAAAAAATTTTGGCACGTATGTTTTTTGAAGGTTTTTTCATGCTCTTTCCAATGGTGAAATTCATTTTTTGAAATTTTTGAATTTTGACCTTGATTTTCTATAATTAAACATAAATTTGCTATTTTCACTAAAATCGGTGCGTTTTTTTAAAATAAATAATTGCAAACGAAAGCTAAGGTTTTTTCCGGTCTGTATATAAATTTTCAGAATGCCGATTTTTTTTGTTTTCAAGATATTAAATGTCAAAGATTTTATGTTGGCGCGCGCGGCGAGGCTGTCGACTTATACCGCGTCACGGTAGCTGTTTACACTGGCGCGCGCGGACAAAAAATTTTTGATATTTAATATCACGAAAAAAAAATCGGCATTCTGAAAATTTATATACAGATCGGAAGAAACCTCAGCTTTTGTTTGCATCGCAACCATCCTGTATGTTTTTACGACCCAAATGATGCAAAAAAAAGAAATAACTTCCTGCGATCATTAAAAGTTAAACGACTCAAAATAAAGGTGGTGCCTTCCCTTAATAAATCATGTTACACCCAGAGAAAAGATTTCTTTGATTTAAAGAAACCAGTTTCTTTGACTTGTTTTCTTTCATTCAAAATAAAATTTTCTATAATTTTAAGCAATTTTTTGAACCTCTAAACATACAGAAGTATTAATATTCGGATGGTTTTAAATATAGTAGTAAGAGTACAATAACAATTGAAATTATCTGTAATAGTTAAAACTTAGCTGCAGGAATTAGTTTTTGTTGCCTTGCTGAGGATTTTATTGCATAATTCCACGAATGATAATAAGTATACTAACCTCGAGGCATGCCGCATGGTCCAGGTGTTCTAGCGTTATCCAGAAAGTCGAGGTCATATTTTCTAGCTGGTGGAAACGTAAGAGCGACATGAGCACGTGCTCCCATCCATTGAGTTGCCACTCCCAGCAAAAGTAACGGCAGCGCGCGTATCAGTAACCTCATGTTCATATTATCATCGGCAAATTTTTGCCTTTTCTTTATTTCGATACACGCTACTTCCACTTATTCGCTACATCAAACAACTCTCTTTGACTAACCTGCTCACACTTTTCACCCTTCGACAAGTCCAATTCATGAGGAATGTTTCTTTCTTACACGATGATGAATCAACTAACAAATGTTAGTACCTGCAAAAAAAATTAGTTTTCAACTTTAATTCAAATAATTTTTTAACTTTTTAAAGCACATCAGAAAATTAATAAAACGTATTCGAAATAAATTTATAAAATATTTGAGTTTACTTTCTAGCATTGTACTGATCCAGTTATATTCGACAGTATTTTGTTTTTCTCTACTGAAGTACTTTGATAAAAAATATAATACAGCTTTTCTACCTAAAACATGTAACAGTTTAAGAGATAATATATTTTTTTAATAACCCAATGGGAAAAATACCATTGGCGTATTAATGGCCCAGGAATGGGAGCCAGGGATGCCAATATAATTTCAATAATGGACCATTATTGGTAAATGCATGGGCTGTTCACGCCGATGTCAATGATTGGTAACCATCATTGGCAAATTATTGGCAACCAATAATTAGCCAATGTTAAAAATTTTAATAATAATTTAAAAAATCAATTATTAAAAATTTTATTTTTATTATTTTTTAATGGTTATTATTATTATTATTAATTAAATTAAAATAAAAAAATAGTCATCACAGTATTAGTGAAACCATTTTTTCAAAAAAAAAAGTTTGTCTCACATCCCAATAAATAGAAGAGACATCGGGCAGAAAAAAATTTCGACGAGAAAAAAATTTTCGATCACTGCTTATATACCAATCTGATGGCACCTCAACTGCGAGAAACAGTGATGTTCGCCCTCCCTGTGGCATTGAGCGAACTAAAGTTTAAAGCTAAGCCGTCAGCGCAGCGCGGGAACATTTGAAAAATTTGATTTTATTAGATATTTTATTTTATTTTAAATATGACAAATAATTAATTTAATAAATAATTAATTTAATAAATAATTAATTTAATAATTACAAGTATGTACGCTGGCGGCATCGAGTGTTATGACTTTATTTTTGTAGAACTTGGACTTTTGCTCGCTATTGGCAGTTGAATTTTTGTACAAAACTAATTATATAGAAATGGTTACATATTTTATGAATTTAATAAATATTTTTTATAATAAATATAAACATTAACTGTAGCTTGTTATTCACTTAATAAAAAGCATTTTCTCTAAATTGGCGTTACACAAAGTATTGTGTGCACCACGTACGAAAGAACATTTTCCGACTTCGTGCAAATTGCTGACCTCGCTTCGCTCGGAGCAGCAAATTTTGCACTTGTCGGAAAATAGCTTCTTTCGGTACTTGGTGCACAATATACTATTTTAAGAGAGAAAATTTAAAAATAATTAAATTTCTCATCGTGTTATTATTTTTGTGCTACAAATAATTTTTTTGTTAAATTTTCGTATTAAAAAAATTAAGTAAATAATAATTACATTATTTAGTTAATTAATTTATTTACAGAGAATAAGGCACAAATTTTTTTATATTTCAATCATGACAACAGGCGTGATTTAACTTGTAATAATAAGTCATTTTTAAATAGATTAAAAATATGTAACAATTTTATGATTTATAAATCGGTCGACTTATACCACACCGCGGTAGCTGTTAACAATGGCGCGCGCGGACATAAAATCTTTGATATTTAATATCTTCAAAACAAAAAATATCTGCATTCTGAAAATTTATATACAGATCGGAAAAAACCTTAGCTTTCGTTTGCAATTATTTATTTAAAAAAAACGCACCGATTTTAGTGAAAATAGCAAATTTATGTTTAATTATAGAAAATCAAGGTCAAAATTCAAAAATTTCAAAAAATGAAATTCACCATTGGAAAGAGCACGAAAAAACCTTCAAAAAACACACCTGTCAAATTTTTTTTAATTGCATTAATAGACAGAAAAAATTTAAATAGTAGGCGGTGTCAGGGAAAACTTGGAAAATTGACCCCCTCTATCTCCCTCAAAATTTCAAAAAAATTTTTGGGGATATTTTACTATCAGGTAGGACAACAATTTCCCCAAGTTTCACTTTTTTCGAGAAATCAATTTTTTAACTCAGGACATTACACGTAAAATGCCTCATATATAACGCCTAGCTGCTGAAATTTTCCCATTGCGTCCAATCTAGGGGCCACATTTCTTATCAAAAACAAAATTTTTTCTTCGATCGTACTGTTACGTTTATATTTAATTTTGAAGGTAAGCGAAGTCAAAAGGTATTTTATGCTTCGAAAGTGGTTAGCAAATATTTCACACGAATGCAATATTCGTTCTTTATTTTTTTTTTGTAGGAATGTTTCTTGCCTCAGCCCTATGGGGACTGTTATGAAATTGTTCTTACTTATTTGACAGAAAAGAGTATTAAAGGTTAAGAGAAAATAAAATATAAAGATATGCAAGAGAATATTAGTTTATTATAATAAGAACTCAAATGTAAAATCAAATTAAATTATATTATTATTATATTATTAATCATTAAATTATTAATGGTCTATATATAATTCTCAATCACTTATATCACTGATTAATTTACGCGTACCAGTAAAGCCTAGTAGGCATTTCTCGTTATTCTCTGTTCCCTTTCATAGAACGAATTATGGAAATCACTCTTTGATGAGTAGATTGGGTAAAGAAGGAAATGACTTTTATAATGACATTGACTTTTTTGATTGTAATTCGATGAGATTTCACATACTTTTGCGTCGACTTGTTTTTAGACATATGTAATTAACTGTTTCAATATTTAGCCGCTTATGTATTACATTTGATAAGATTTAGTATTTTGCTTTGTGCAAATAATTTAGTATTAAGAGTACTTTGTACGAAAGGGCATTGTCCCGTTTACTACTTAAATAAATAAATAAATAAATAAGTATAATAAAGTATTGCAACCAAGTATTACCCACAACTTACTTATGTGCTTTCCTCGAAGGAATGTATACGTAGTATGGTTGAATAAATTATGTGTTTAGATATTTTAACAATGTTTACAATTAGTTGGAAGTCAATACGGGTAAGAGATTTTGGTAATCTTTTTATCGAAAGTAAAAATACTCGAATGCCGATCTTTGACCAGATTTTACATCAAAATCCGAAATAAATTATACCGAGTACAATGGTTCGTATGGACCATGCCATATAATTGTCAATTTTGACAATTAGGCCAGAATCCACTTTCGGAATAAATAAACGAATCTATTACTGATGGGACAAATATTAAAGTACAGAAAACCGAAATACAGACAACTGTCTGAAGTAAACTGTCGCAGAAAAATGTATCGGTTCTGGAGGAGAATTTCTAGGCTTTTATACCCTTTGGTATAAGGGTGACGGGGCAAAGGTGACGTTGTGACGATTTTAAATAGCCAATCAACATATTAAATAATATATATCGTCATTGTTACCCAATCTGAATTAAATGGTTTTATAATGACCAATAAGAATTCATCTGATGGGGAGGAGTCATTGTTGTTTCTTGGTAAAAAGTGGGCAAATGCACTGGTTCCTCTCCTCCAGACAATTCTTGGAAAAATGATCTTATTACATGACTTATACATATTCCAGTTATTTTCAGTTAATTAAGATATTAATAAAAATATTAATTGTTAATAATAATAAATAAACATGTAAGTCATGTAAAAGGTCCTATTTTTGTGAAATTAATAATAAAATCATACAAACATTCAATCATACAAACATACAATAATTTTGTATAATGGAAGATAATAATAATACTAATTAATTAAATAATTAATTAATTAATTAGAGTAAATAATATACGTTAATTCTAAGATTAGTTGATCTTTAATCGATTCAGATTATTTGATCAGGTGATTGCCGCTATGACCTCGTAAGACACCATATGCATGTGTCTACAGAGTGCGAAAAATATGCTACATTGTGTCGGTCTACGACTCTTATTCTTTGTAGAAGCGAACAACTTTTAATGGTCACGTACTGTTGTGACAGTCTTGACCTCTTATAAACTTTAATTGCCGTATTGGTTTATACTGCACTTCTTAATTTCGTATTAATTTCAGGTTTAATATAATAATGCAATAACAATTATACCATACAATAGGTTGTACAATATTATGCATTTTACATAATATACACTAAGATAATATAATTATTACTATCATTATTATTAGATATTTTAAATAATGACTTTAAAAAAAGATTTTGTGAACGTAACACGTACATTATTACCTTCTACATAAATTAAAAGATTTCGATAGAATGTACGATTCAAGCAAAAATTTTGTTTTTTTGTTTTTAGTAAGAATTGTGGACCCTAGATTGGACGCAATGGGAAAATTTCAGCAGCGAGTATATGACGTTTATTTTATTATTAAATTTTATTTTTTTTTCAATATAAAAATTATATTTCGAAGGTTTAAATATATAAGAAAACATCAAAAAAACTCATATCAATTTATTTCAATGCGTTTGAAAAAAAATTCCTGACATTTACACATTTTTTGACTTTCTATAAAAGTAAGTGCGCCCCCCTTAAGAAGCAACATTTTTATGCTGCTTTCCTGAAATTACACAATGTAATTTCCATTACAACTACTACCGCTGATTTTAAGACTCATCTTAAAATATGATTTTCTTTTTGCTAATAAAAAATTATCATTATTAGTTGATTATTAAAAAACTGTCCATTACGTATTATGTATTTTGTATATATTCCCAATTTCATTGATCTTTCATTAAATAGTATCCGTGTATATACTATTTGCTAGATTGCAAAACAGGTACATATATAAGCAGATTATTTATGAAATCAAATATAGAAATGTAAAAAATTTATTTTTTATTATTTAAAATTCATTTTTTATATAAATTAATTCTATTTAAACTTTATTTTTACGGTAATTTTTAAGTTAAAAACTGAAGATTTTTTATGAATATTATTATTTAACTGTAGTAACTAAATTACATATATTATAAAAAAAATTATGTCCATTACTATAAGAAAGAAATAAAAATTGTTTAATGTAATTTTTCATAATTTTTAATAGAAATTTCTACATTTATCTGCATGAAATGTACAGAGGTACCCGGGTACCTTGTCCGCCTTTTAAGGGTG